CTGATCATGTAGCTCATGTCTGTAGCACCGCACGCGGTCAGAGGAAAACACCGATCAATGGATCTGAGGGACACAGCCAGCGAGGGGGAGAGCGCGTGCCGTTGCATGTGGGCGAATGACGTTGTAAAATTGTTTGGTTTTATCTCATAGGCTGTTTGATTTTCAGACGGGCATCGTTGGCTTTAGCAAAGACAAACCCTGGTCGTGCGGCATGAATAGGGGCACTGGTCCAGTGGACACTTCCAACTACACGAGGGGAGACACCGCTACATTGCTCTCCAAAATACCTACCTGGTTAATATTCCACATGGTGGCGCCAACGCTGACCCCATAAGATCCTACCTGGGACGCGCGAAAGTTTTTCAAGGAACTTTTCATTATGATATCGTTATTATGTCGTTAGGATTGAGGATGATTAATACTTCCATGTTACTAACCGCCGGGTTAGCCCTGTCGTAACAACAAAAATATAGAAAGTACATGCTTCGTCCTCAGGCTGGTTTCCAGCATCCGGCCCCCTGGATTTGGTGATAGGTGCATTCGGGACCTCCGAGAAGAGGGAATCTGGTCCGCGTGACGAAGTACCATTAGACAGACGCCACGCTTGAGAGGACACGGAGGGGGGGGGGGAGACCCGGGAGTTGGCCAGTACTGTGAATTTACGTAGGAAGTTTAGAGGATGCACCTCGATAACTGGCAGGCGGTGGGTCAGCAAACTTCAATCGCACGTGTCAGCCGGCGGGCGGTGAGTCAGCAAGCTTCAGTCGCACATACATGTGATCTACCTTGAGCCGAACACACTTGAGTCCTTGACTCAGCGTTTTTGAAACCCATGTTTTTCGAGCTACTGTCAAAAAGCTGTCAGGCAGTAGGGGAGCGCGAAATGACCGAGACGCTGAGAAATATTGACGGGAGAGGGTGTCTGATTACCAATGTGGGCCAGACCGATGAGCATGTCGGGCCTCTTTTGACGAGGTGTGCGTGTCTCAGATGACATCTTTTGACGAGGTGTGCGTGTCTCAGGTGACAGTCTTGTCTGAAAGCATGCCAGGATTTTTTTTTATTCTAGATTTGTCATCCACAACATCTCCGCGGAACCGGATGGAGATCGGGGTCATACCCAGACAGTCTCGGACGGTAGAATCACAACGATGAACTCGGCTCCGCCTGTTTTCACTATGAAATTGTGGCAGTGGACTCAGGGATCTAGTGATTTCAGTCTGTTCCATAGCGGCAGGGCGCTGTTTCTGTGGAGATACGGTTGCGGAAACCATTTTGAGAGGGATGGGAACATCACGCATAATCTGATGGTTAACCAGGCGTACCTGTCTCTGCCTGCGTCACTGCTCCAAAGAAGAAATACGTAAATCGCATCTGATTGTACCGGTAAAATGAATCCACTTATTCATTGAGATGATTACCAAATTGGGTCTATGTAGCGGTTGCGCAAAATGACTCACTTTATCACACACATCTGAAAGATTGATTACTTCAAACGGGCTGCACGGTCGCATCAGTTTCAGGACAGACCCACCCTCGCATGGGCCACAAGTACTCGTAATTGGTAACAGGAAGCAATTTGGCCTTTCTTTTCCGGGGCGGCAGCCCACACGACGGTACTCACTGGTCAGCAGATGGAGCGTGCGCACCTCGTGCTCCGACTCGAGCGAGTCGAACACGGCCGCACCCACCAGCAGGTAGGTGAGCGTGCAGACGATCAGCGAGAGCGTGCGGATGTTCTGCTTCTTCATGGCATGCTGGCCGGGACCGGCCGGGCCCGCCGGGCGACGCCCGCTTCAGCCTGCAACACGCGTGGTGCGCCCTACCAGCGCGGCGTCGACCTGACGCCGCGGGGAGTGGCGCCGCCGCTGATGGGTTCCGCCGACGGGGGAGGGGGGGGGGGGGGGCGAGGGTCCCCGACTCTTGATGGATCGCCTGTCACGCTGACAGTGTGGTGTACAGAAAGGCGGCGCTCTACAGAACCCTCGATGCAACATTAACACGCAACTTAGTGTCTGGTTTGTTGTTTCGCGAGACAGGGTTCATTAACCCTCAGCTGCCCACTGAAACTGACCTCAAGAACAGGGCCTCACCAAGTACACTGAATGAGCTCGGAATTCTTACGCTAACAGTTATCGATCCTCAATATGTCAGGGGTGTCTACTGACTAACGACGCTATCAAGCAAACATGGCTCATGCTGTCAATTCTCGGCGTTTCAAGCTGTGCAAGTGTCTTATAATGATCATGATGTAGAATGATTACGAGTCATCATGGTATAATTCGTCATCAAAGCACAACTTGAAACGTGGATTGCTGACAATATGACGAGTTGTCGTTTAACTCGTACCTTCTGTCACATCGGAAGTCGACAACAGTCGAGATGAGAATTCTGAACCCATGATGTCGAAACCAGAGCAATGCCTTCCTAGCTTATATCAAGCACCTACATGTTGATTCCCATTAGACCACACTAGGGACCGCGCGAGGGGTGATGTAAATGGATCAAAGAGGTGAGATGCAGAATGCACATATTTCAATGGCAGAATCAGGCCACAAATGGGGTGCTGCTTCCGTCGGATAGGTACTCGCCGCCCCAAGGCTTTCACTTCGGTGTGCCGCTGAGCATCTCGATTCCGAAACCGAGTGACGACGTGCGTGAAATGACATCACGGCATACGCACATCCGAATGGAAAGGCTCGCACAACTTCCGCGGAGGTTTACGCGTGGCCTGATTTCCGCGGAAGGCGCGCGGAAGGCACGCATCGACTTTACGCGGAAGGCATGCATTGGCCTGACGCGAAATGCGCGCGTTGACTTTACATGGAAGGCAAGCACAGACTTAACGCGAAAGGCGCACGTCGACTACGCGGAAGGCACGCAGTGACTGAACGCGAGTGTTGACTGACGCCCGCAGTCCGCACACTTGGATCCTCCCAGTCGGACTGCCTGCGCCGACCCGTGCTTAGCTACTCACGGCTCTGGTTTGCGCTGACAGACGGGCGTTAGTCCGACCCTCCGCCGCCGTCTGCCCACTGTGCCCGGGCGGGGCGTCCGGTACGCTGGCGGCCTCGTGCTCAGTCTGCCAGTCTGTCCGCTGCAGCTGGCCGGTACCCCGCTCTCGTGCCTAGCCAACCACGGTCTGCCCGCTGTGGCCAGGCCACGGCCCCCTACGGTCTCGTGGCGTCGGAAGGGCGCAGGCGCACCCTTATCAGATCGATACGCACGGCGGCATTGGACGCTGCCGATGTCTGGCAGAGCACCACATGAATTTCTGAACAGAAAACATCCTAGGCCCGTTGTTATTCAACTCGAGGATGTTCGCTGTGGTGGTGGGGACGATTTGCTTCGAGGAAGCGGCTGTTTGTTCACATTGAAAGAACGCGTCCAAACGTAACTACTTCACGTTATTCCGAAGATATCAGGAGCGACTGGAAAGCGTTTCTCGTCCCGGTGAAAGAGGAATCAGAGGCACAAGTCCAGTCAGGATTGCGCGCAGGGGGGATGAAATTGGGGTCCAGGGTTTCCTTTCAGACTAGAGGGTCCCTTCAATCATCGCTTAGTGGCTCTATTTTTGAATCCGGGAACGTTTTAGGCTCGGGATGCTGGTTATGCTTTACGGCCTGTTTGGACGATTTACGCGTCCTACGGGCGCTCGAACCACCGACAACTGGGACCTTCCGCTCTAGGCAGCGCCAGGCACCAGCAGAAAACAGCGCATGGGCCAGGGCCTGTCCGTTGGCTGCGTCTCAACGACCAGAGGAAAAGGTAAGGAAAGCGGCAGATAATGCGATAAGAAAGGGTTAGGGTGTGACCATCCCGAGGCTGTTGGAAAGGGGCGGAAAATGAAACGTCGTGGGGGGGGGGGGGGCGGGGCCGGGACTTCTGGGCCGATGACGACAGCCCAGGATAGCAGTCAGTTCCTCACCGGAGCTGTTGGCTATTGTACGCTGGGAGACTGAACAAGGACGGCGAACCGATCGATGCCGAGTGAGATAAGCCATTGCCAAAATGCATAGCTGTCAGCCCTGATACAGACTCAAATGGCTATCTCGGTTTATGGTACGTTGACGATCACCGCTTTACGCCCCCACCACCACCACCGCTCCCCTCATTCACTACTCTGACATTAGTACGATTGTCAAACCCAGCACGCGAGCAGACAACAAACGCTGAACGGCGCGTCGCAGTCTCCTCTTCTGCGCGAGATCGATACGGGGCTGCTGCGTCCCACCACGCTAATGCGCCTGAGCTGTCACTGCACTTCGTCGGGGGCGGGCGTCAGGCAGGAGCATCCCGAGCTAGGCTCATAACCAAGTGAGTCATTATTGCCGGACTGCCACCGTCCCCGTACCCACTAATCGGCGCGACCAACAGTGCACCCCCGCCATCTGACGCGGAGCGCCCACATTGCCTGGGTGATTTACCGGGCGTCCCGAGCCCTCCATGGCTTGCTTGACGAGGCTCAGGATATTACCCGCCACGCCGACCGATGCGTCTCTCACGTCCGTATGAAAACGTGACACAAATACAAATTGAATTAAGTGTGAAACGACACAAATTGCACATTGCACGGATGGGTTTGCATTCTTTCCTGAATAACAGACCCCGTACCGGAAATTGCTGGCGCCTGCGTTTTTGCGATAACGCACTAGACGTGTGGCATCCCGTCACCATCTTCATACAAATTTGATGGACGGGCACCCACCAGAGCGACGGCGCACTCACAACTGCTTACCCGACACCAGGCCTGAAGTGAGGATACTTATTACACTACGATACTCATATTCATACTTCATCTCGTTCTGCACTAGGCACTCTCAGTTACAACTCCATCTCATCACATGCCAGCAGGAAACCAGCTGTCTCGCTACGATCCGCAGCCCTTTCTTCCCTGCGTAACCACGAAGCTCGGCAATTGGGAGCCCACAGCGCGAAGAGCGTCCTCGGCGTTCATGGAAGGCAGATGACGCTTGGCAAACTGCAACCGACACAAACAACACCGTGTGCCCGATGTATTCTCTCCCATATGAAAGAAATAGTTCTCGGTGTCGATAACGTTCTAAAGGTAAAAATCGCATCTGTAGCCAGCGGCAGAGTCCGGAAAGAGAAACCAGGCCAAAAAAGACGTCTCGAATCAATCAGCTAGCGGCCGCAAGACACCACGTAAGCGACAAGTATAGTAAAGGGCACTGAGCACGCATACACATTATGTACAGTTCAAATGCATGACGGTTGGACAGCGCACGGCAACACAGCACACGTGAAACAATATCGCAGCTGAAGCGCGATGGACGCCAACAAGAACCAAAATCCCGTTGTTTCCACGACTGCACTACCTAGAAATGGGGATTCCTTTCTTCAGAACAACAAACCCAGTACAGGAGCCTGCTTCAGTGAGCGCTTTTTGAAGTGAAAATGTTCTGACGTTTATACCAAATGGCGATCACTTAAGATGATCCGGCCTAGAGATGGAATGGCCACTCTGTCGATGGACAGTCTCAATGCTTGGTTTCCGGTCGCCGGTCTCCCCGACCAGGACGCCGTCTTCTGTTGTCACTTCGTTCACTCGCTTGAGATCTGGTCGCACGAACCCTGAGCTGAGCCGGCTCGCTGCTCACTGTTGATGTCCGATGACGCCGACCTCGAGGCGGAAGTGACGAACTCCGCGAGCACACTGCCCCGCTACCAATGCTCGCCGTACGAGTCCATGTAGAACTCGTGATTGCCGCGGCCCCGGTAGCCGTTGTTGTGCAGTGGCTGCTGCGGTATGGGATTGCTTCCCCAGTTGCTGTTTGGTTGGCGCCGTTTATACTCCCCCTGGATTTGATGTCCTCCATCGAACTTCCTCTTACCTGAAAGTCAATCAAAAGCTTGACTCATCGCTCATGCAGGTTTCAACTAACGCACAATGGATTATGGCCTGGAAACTAGATGCCCCTGCTGCCAATTGCTTACTGAGGCTTACAGCAAGCCGATTGCTGGGGCCGCACACATGTACAGTTTGTAAGGTGAAATGAACATCACCTAAGGCCCAAGTCCATAACGCAAATACTTTGTGACTGAGCTTCAATCCATACAGAACCGAGGCAGCAGTAATATACTCCTTTCTCGGATAAAAAACGAGAATGGGGATAAAGATGGGTTGCTATTTTGGCAACACACTTTTATCGAAACAAAAGCAGAAGTGAATTCAACACATTTTGGACATCAATTTTGGACGTAGTTTTTATTCATTTTTGCTTTGGTTCGACAAAAGCGCTACTGAAATATCAACTCATCTATATCTTCATTCTCCTGGTTTGTTCACCGAGGAATAAGGCTATTACAATTGTCTTCTATGTGAATAATGCTTCCCGCAAATGCACTCCACAGCTCACATACGGAACTAACTTTGAACGGCGCGACCTGAATGTATGTTGCTAACCTGGTAAGCCTGCTCCCCTGGCGACCCCTCTGCCCACCCCACGGCGCATGCCCCTGGCCATTCCACGACCAGTTGCTGTACCCCTGGCCATAGGAGTCCCACGAAGCGGCACCGGGCCACCGCCGCGCCCACGAGGCCCCATAACCCCACGGGAACGGCCAGCCTGAAAACAGAAGCGGGTCACTTAGCGGCAGGTTTTTGGAGCGGTCATGCGACCACCACAGCCGTTGCCACGTGAGCCTTTGCTGTAGAGGTCGGGGACCAGGAAACGGAAAGGGCACCATGACTGGCGATGACAATTTTCTTACCATTTTGACAGCTTCGGGTTCACAACTAAACCAAGACTCAAACATGGCTACGAACACTAACATGCTTTTACCGATGCAACGCTCGCGAATATTTCGATCAAGGACAAAATATCAAAAAATGTATATGTAGCTAATACAGACACCATGTATCTAATACTACACATTTTGCAGCAATTTAGGATCAATTTAGTAACAGGCCAAAAATTAAAGAGCACCCACCATTGGAGGTTTGCCCCTTCCACGGGGAGCCGGAGAGCTTGCCGGATAATCGTAATAATAATCGTCGTTAGAGTACTCGTCGTAATATGGATCGCTGTAGCCACCTCGATAATCTCCATATCCGTACATGTCGTAATCGTAATCATAATCGACATCTAGAAAGACCAATAGCAAATGTTACCACCTGCGTGCCACATACGAAACAGGCATAAATTTTGTTCCACATGTTCATAATGGAGCAAAACGCATCGATTTTGTCAATCAGTCACACGAAGGAAAAGAGAGGTCCAGAAAAAGCCAGTCATAGTGTGAGCGACATTAAGAGAGGAAAGTATAAATTCTCACCAAGTAGCGATACGTAGATGGTAGGATCCAGGGGAAATGGAGAAGTGTTTCAGAAGTTGTGATTCGGCTGGCAGGATTCATGATGGACAAGGTAAACCATCGGACACGATATTGTGACATTTATTGCACCACTTGAACTTAAATCATCACAAGTATCCAGAACACAAATTCGACCGTTTTGTACAGTAAATTCAATGCACAATACACATGCTTCACAATGTCATGTGGTTATTCAGCCTCGCCAGAACCATTACATAAACGGTAGCATTCCAACAGTTTGAAAGACCCCGGTGACGCAAACACCGCGCATACAGCACACGTCGAATTAATAACACCTCTGCATTCACAGGATCGGTTCACAAAGGATGTCAATGACGAGCATTGGATCGATTCACAGGATACCACCGGACGTTATTCATGCCAGCAGTTGTCCGTGTCGCGTCACTGGAGTACATTGGACCCATACACAGGGGTTATCGCCGTTGATTGTTAGTAATACCAGTAGTTTTCCGCGTAGCAGTCATATCCAGAGAACTTACCGTAGTCTCCACGGCCCATCGGTGGCCGGCCACCACCCATACCACGCGCATAGCCACGGTGGCCTCCACCGAAGCCCGGTGCAAACATCGGGAACCTTGAAGGAAAACCCCATCACGGTTAATTGCTGAACTGTAGCACGGTCAGCTAAAACCAACCTTACGGCAGGTGCTCCCAAAATACCGTTGGGGTTCAAAGTCCTCTAGAACAATGTCATCCTCGCCTCATGCAACAGACGTTCAACCCTTTTCGAGGACAGCGGGAATGTGGCAAGCCAGCTCATCCAACCGACAGCCCTTTGCCAATAGCTTTTAAATCTCGATATATTACTCTGAGCAGACAAAGGCGCTGTGAACTGCGCTGTGGACCGCACAGTGACCGGGGCTGTGAATTGCACCAAATGATCTCCACGGTGGCTACTTTCAATTCAAAAGTCCATGCAAATGTGGAGTGCTCCCTTTAAACATTATATAAAATATCATGTAAGGCTGTTCTGGTTCAAATTCACTGGGATCCCGAGGCACAGACAGCAAGCAGACAGCTGGCACTAGTGTGCATCTTTCACTTTAACTTCATCGACGACACAAATGTACCAACCAGCCGCACAGCCAGTCAGAGTGCCGTAAACGGAGTGCTCGACGGAACAATGCCAACGCCGGTACTTAACGTTACCGGACGCAGACCATCCCGATGCAAGAGCAGATCCCAGAACATTTCAGCTCACCCTCGCTGAGACATCATGTTCATCATTCTCTTCTCCCGGTTCCGGAGCATTTCTTCCTTTTCTTCTTGTCAGACGGTGGCTTCGCCAGCGACACATCGATAGTTGACCCGCACAGCTCCGACTGGTTCAGACTCTCCATTGCCTGCGAGGCAACAGAAGTGGACCCACTGTAACAGGCCTATTCATTTACGTTGAGGAGAGGCCTCACGCGAATTCCCCGCTCATATCTTTTACCGGAAACATATTCTGCTGAAAAATTAAGCGTTACACAACGAACCTAAGCAAGTAGCTGACTTGTACGACCATAAAACAGTCCAGCATTACGTGAAAGGCAAACTACGTAGTTCAAAATGACGTAGGGAATGGTGGCCCAACACAAATACATTTATAGGGCGTGGTTCACAGGGTCTGTCTTCGCAGCCTCCGTCATAAAGTACTACTTGAAGCGATAGCGTGTTCACCGAATTCGTCCCACAGTAGTTGGCATGAGTGTTGCGGCCAGTAGTTGTTTATAAGAGCTTCTCTGGCACGCAGCCCTCCTATATGGAGCCATACAAGCATCCGCTCGCGTTATTTGGATGGAGGAAACACCCTGAATCATACCGGGTTATCATCTACATGAAAGTTATGGAATAGTGATAAATACGGTCTCAGCCTCATATACCCAGAAGACTAAAAAAAAAAAAAAACTGAAAACTCATATTTTTGCACGCCTTGTACCGGCGCGCACCTTTCCTCCTTGCTGTTCAGTCGCTGTCACCGACCACAAATATGTGCGCGGCTCAGCTGCCCGCCACAAGGTAACGGCCACGGGACCGTTTCCCGGGATCCTCCATGATTCTATGGCGACTAGCTTCACATGGCCTGTTTGTCAAACTCTATTGACAGGCCCAGCGACTTACGTTACAACTGAGAACACCAGAGTTATCACTTTGCACACCTGAGCACGTTAATTTTGCGCTATTTTTACGTTAGGTGCCTGAGGAAAATATCACGTCTTCCTTCCACATCACTGTAAACGGGCATATCAATCATTACCTGTTTCCTATCTCCTTTGAAAGGAAACGACCTGTTCGCCTTCCATAAAAAGCATCGCATCAAATGGATACGCAGGTGCGCGCGGAGCACGCAGGTGATAGGCGAATGAAGCAAACATCCGTCCACGGGGAACAGCTATAGCAGTGAAATAAGATGAGCCGTCAGCTTCTTAAATCGCAGGATTAGACAAGCGGTACAAAATGAGGACTACTCACGGCAGCCCTACGTATCTTACGTAATAGTGCTCGACATTCTTGCCCCAACTTTCATAAATATTACAAGGAAGCAAGTTAAACTAGAAATGAAGTTTGGAACGCATCCAACAGTCGACTTTTTGGCTCCGACTTGCTACTAGAGTGCAGTCATGGAAACAGAAGCTGTGGAACAAACTTGATCCGACACGGTACCATGAATCAAATTACAACAGTCCAATGTGGTTCGACTTGTGGTCGGGCCAGTATTTAGCCGAAGTGGTACGTCCTACAACCGCTCGATGGGCGGCTGGCGAGGTCGGCAAGCATCTGATCACAGAGTAAAAGCAGTCTTTCCGGGGACGGGCCGGGTCGACTGACATGTTGGTAACCGCGAAAGGTTCAGGACGGATGCAACCAGAAATGCCTTCATTTTGGACCTCTCCATTTGCCGGCATCCTTCACGCTTTTCTAGTGATGTACTTAAGGCTTACGCAAACGCAGAGGTCCTGCAAAATGCGAGTCCGCTGCAACGGCATCTATATTATGGATATGACATTTAATACGAGGCGTTAGACCCGTTTGGAGGTTTTACTGCCACGCTGCTGGAGTGTTTTGTTTCTTTTTCGAAGAACATGCGTTAAATTGCTGCCTAGAAAAAGAGAAACTTGTAGTCTTCCGGACACAAGAAACCCAAAGAAGCAGCATGCGCCAATCCGCCCCACTAGCTGGACCAACCTTCAACGCGTTCTCCCTTTCTTCGAAGTGGATGAATGCGTAGTCCTTGATCTTTTTTCAACCGTTTCAATCTTCCCATGTGCTTCAAAAGCCTCCTTCAGCTTCTCCTCCGTGCACTCTTGGGTGAGGTTTCTAGCATACAGGAACCTTGACCTGGGGAAATACATACCGGACTCAACTATTGGTGTCATTGAGAAAACAGATACAATCATCATAACTGACAGAGCACAACGCTCTGCTGTCCTCCCACTGGACAGCACTGGCTCTGCATGGCACGCGAAAAAGAAATATTTGACCCGATCCGCATGACATGTAAAAAGAACTGTTCGACTGGCTCCGCATGCCACGCAAAAAAAGACATATATGATCATCACACAAGAGCAAACCCATTCTGTAGTCCTGACTACAGCTGTAGTTAGAACATGCTTGATATGCTGTGGACCGGCATTCCTTTCAAGTCCAGCCCCAAACGACAGCACCTGTCACGTGGATACATGTCTTCGAGTGTCGTACAGTAGTGGTATTCATAATAATCGCCGCGGTATCTATAATCATCGCCGGATAATGCCTGAGCAAGAGCTGTGCAACAAATTCTATGTGCACATCACAACAGAAATTTTTTTAAAAAATGTTTGAACCACTGGCAGTTCCATACATATCTTAAGTCCTCAAAAATATGAAAGGAAATGGCCAGCAAAAACCTTACACTAAGACCGATTCCAACTACTCATGGTCAGGTGAACACGTACCACCCGTTTGTAACCACTTTTCTTAATTTTAATTGTTCGCCGTGGCACCTTCAAACTGACTTCACAGCAAAGCAAGGCAAGCAGCTTGTAGCATGTAACCAGAACTGATCATCAAAGTTGTGCCACCCAATGTTCAATGGATGATTGTGCATGCGCTTATCTATACACGAATGTAGAGGGTTTCGCGTGCGCCACACCATGCTACTGCATGGCCGCCCCGAGCCCAGGTTGAGCCCCGTAACCTAGCTGCCAGCTGACACGCCGGTCAATCCAGTCACACAGGACGCCCTCCGCGGGAACTCGTACCCAGCGCTGCTGGAAAATCGGTCCAGCGTATTCTCTACAGATCAAGGGTGGTAAATGCTGTAACCATCCCAATACCGTGCTATTCAGTGCTTGCAAGCGCGTTGGCTAAGAGGCCATTCTACCCCTTACTGACAATGAACTCCATCCTACTAAGCCAATACTATTGGTATCTCTACAAAGCATGTATGCAAAATCACTCGTCTCCACCGTCGGGTTGCCAACATATATCGCCAACGCTAAATAGGCGCTGGGAATGACGGTACGCGAGTGCCGCCGCGCTAGTTCCGACATTAACACGACAAAGGTGCGTGCCAGTAAGGGAAACCGCTAATTGCAGGGCAGCGGCGAGAAATCAGAACAGGTTCAATGACAATTACGTTTAAACTATCCGACGCCAGACGTACCTTGGCCATGGTCTCCTTGTCCGGCTCCTCCTGGGGGTCAGCCCAGTCAACGATCACGTCACAGCTTCCAGACCCTTTGATTCTTCCACTCCCCAGACGACGTTTGGCCAGAGAGGCCGCCTTGTGGTCTCATACTCCAGGAAACAGAACCCCCGGTTTTTCTCTTGTCATCAGGAGAGCTGTAGATGATGACATCCACCAGGCCCTCTGAGGTAACACAATTGTCCAATCAGTTAGATGATGCTCCAGCTGCAGCAAGCAGTTCTAAATACCATTCCCGGATGTCAGCATTTTTCACAAATACTAGTCACGGTACATGCGAATCAGACCACAACGACATTGCGCCTTAGCACCTTGTGGCTCATGAAACAAGTATCCGCGCCTGTATTACAACTGATGGTGCCACAAGCCTGCATTATGTTGTTAATTAGCGCAGCTCGCCGCCATGAAAGTACGACGCCAGCACAGGTAGCACTGAGGAAAACAGAATTATTGACCAACCTTAATTGATATTGGTTTACCACAGCAAGTGGCCATGAGTCAGGGGACACATCAGTGATGGGCTGGGACATTAACACCTACTAAAACAATTTCATAACAGGGTGATCTGCCAAATATGCTTCTTTAGACAGCAAGGGACTGAACAGAATGGGGAAGGCAGTCATGTACATTGTTTCCCTAATCTACCATTACCGGAAAGTCCCATTTACAGTAACGGGCGTGCAAGCCGCTGAATTACGTCAATGTGACGTTTACATAAGCACTGACTTCAATCCCCCACAAAAAATCGAAAAATCGCCTTCAACACCTCACGGCATTGCATCGTAGTTTGTCAACCCGGTCTACGACGAGCGAAGAATTGGACGGATTTACATTCGGGGGTACAACGCATTCGGGGTCACACGGCACCGTTCCGTCACATCACACGTTCCAGTCGTATTAATATGCCCTGTGAGCGCGGGCGGGGAAAGAAGCACACCAGGGAGCGCATTGCTTATCAGTGCTGTAAATGAAACCAAACTCAATTTCGTGAACGGAAACAAAGCAATCCCTAAATAAATTTACCTGTGTGTTTGCCAAACTCTTCCAGGATCTCCTCTTTGCCCTTAGATTTAGGAATGTTTCCCACGAAAAGGCGCAGATTGGGTACACTGATATTGACTTTGAGTGTCTTCCCCTTTTGATCTCGTAATTGTCGAGCTGTGGAACGAGAAATGCCGAAAAAATTAATAGAAACACGCAGCAACCTCACCACAAATAGCAACCTCAACAAAATTTTCTGTGCAGATCACAAACAGCATTGACACGCAAATTTTCCACCTTGATTACCAGCCACTGCGGCAAAGAGAAGATCTGGCACAAAAACCAATCCAGTATAAAACGAAACCAACATGACCTGAGGTTTTCTATACATTGCCAACAGTAGCACATTTGAAGCATACTAATTGAATCCAATCTCCTGGATTGAAACTGCATACCCATCCTGGGCCATACATCTCCTCTCATGCACCCAAAAGTGCATTGTACATACCTGTTTCACAGCCTCCCTTGCACCTTCTTCGTTGGTGAATGTAACGAAGGCATAGCCTCTGTTCTGGCCGCTCATCGGATCCATCATCAGTCTGAGGTCCCAGATATCTCCGCACTTACTCGAAGAGTGGAATGAGCTCGTCTTCAAACAGCTCCTTGGGGATCTTTCCAACAAATGCCTCACAACCGGAGCCTGGCTGCTTCCCCTCCCAGTTTGGTGGGGGACCCCCATACTTCCTCTGGCCAGTAGTGACATCCAGGGTAAAGCCAGTGCGATCGAGAATCGCCCTTGATCTTGTCTTCATCTGGGCCATGAGTGGCAGGGTAGGCTGGGCCTGCAACAAAACATAACAATCACAGAAACTAAACCCCCTCTGGAGCATGACCTGACAGCAAGCAGTAACGACGATCATACCGAATACCTGACTTTCAGCGACACGCACCAGCTCAGACTCATGGTGCATGGTGGCTATTGTAAAATTCAACAAAATATGTGGACAATGCTGATTTGAGCAGTTCACTGTTATGTGGCACCGCACGCCACGATGCCTAAGTTTGACTGTAAATCAAGGTCGGGGTTTTTCAAACCTACGTGTTTTTTTTTTAACCTACACACTATCAAAGCCGACAGTGGAAGTACACAGTCACCCGAAGAAGGTTGCATTTTATCCTGGCACCACCTGTTGAAAACGTGAGTCTGACCTTATGTTAGCCAGGCCGCGGATCCCCGCATGGAGCGACAGTATGCTCCCAGCGCATAACTTGCAAGACATGACATTTGGAAAACTCAATCTTTCACCTCAATCTCAACTTTTCCGACACCCCGTTTGGTATTCGATGCGACGGAGTTCCGGAGGGCTGAAGCCCTTACACCATTCAGCCTCCGCCAGTCCGCAAAACGCTCGGCAAACGGGCGCGACACGAGTGTCCGGAGTCATAATACAAACAACGTGCAGAACGTGGTGAACCTCCCCACCAACCATATCCTGACATTACCCATTAACTGCGTTCTATATCAGTGCAGCTGCCATTCTGGTTAGGGTCTTAATATGTAATGATCTGGTGACCACGATGTTATGTTCATGACCTCTCACGTAGCAGGCGAGGGCTATATCATGGAGATGTTCATGCAGCTGTATGTGCTGCACATCAAGATCAAATACATGAAAATGTGCTAAAAAATCGATGTGACTACAATAAGTAATACTATCATGCAAGCAGGTGCCTGGTTGAATATCCTTTGCTTGGGTGGAGGGACGTCATTCCCCCCCCCCCCCCCCCCACCTAAAACACGAGAGTGATACAACTAATTCACAGGGTTGAGGTTGGCATCCAGGTGGACTTATCTGAGTCAAAATTTCGGATTTCTAGTCATGACATCACCATAAAAAAGGTCAAACAATGTCAAATTCCAAATTGGTCCATAGTGCCCCCAGCCTCATGCATCTGCCCAGAATCTAGAAACCGTCTCCTAAGCAAAAGGTCACTGGTGTTCATTTCAGTGACCTTAAGGTCATGGCAGCCAAAATCCTGCAAATTGGTTTGATTTCTGCATTTCAATAGGCATCAAGAACTATGCCAGGTGATACTCCCAACAATACATGTTGGCCCAGGTCATTTTAGGTCAGTCATCTATTCTTACCATAAAGAAGTCTGTGGAATCTGGACTGCTGCAGTCTGTCCATTAATAAATTAAAATGAGCCACAGAAATTACCCCTGCGCTGCAAGCTCCGGAGAAAAAGCCAGGCATGTTCACTTTTCAGTCTGACATTCATACATCACCCCAGGTCATTGCTCTATGGCCTTGGACACTATCTCACAGATGTGTAGCTCAGCCTAACACTCCATTGTTGCATCTGATTGGACCGCCACCAAATCTCATGGTGACATCTGATGTCCCAAGGACCACCTGGTTTTCTTCTTTTAAAATTTAATCCAACCCTTTTGAGTGGATGGATTCCTGGAATCAGAGCTCACGCTAGGCAGTGCCTGTTGTGTCAGCCCTGACCCCCCACCATCCGACCAAGCAGTTCCGTGTCAACCGCAGAACTCACATGGCGAAAGCCTAATGTGCTGCAACACTCGGCACCCATCCCGTCCTGCCCTACGCCGTCATCTGACCTTTATCACGGCCGCTGCCACCAGCCAGCTGCCACCAGCCACACTGTCGCAGGAAAATAGTGAGCGCCTAAAGCAAGCTTGAACTCACCCTGCAGCGGTGGGTGAATTGGAAGGTTGGCATTCTCACAAACTGAGCCATCAGAACAACAGACATTGTGTGTTTTATCAATGATATTCTCAATAATGGTTTTACCCATCCTTATATGAACTAACCTTGTGCCTTGCTCTTTTGTCGATAGGTCTTCATTACCCCGCAGAGATAAGCAGATTTGTTGGACACATGCTCCAGGTTTGAGTCCATGAACTGCTTCAGAACAGTCAATGCTCCATCCACTGGAAACTCCTTGAGTGCATCCAGTGCACGGTCATCAAGGTCAGCATGGATAAGTTTCTCTGAAATTGAACACCAAGTAAGTTGTCAGCCATTACATTGTCAGAACACAGCAAGACCATTTGTGGACATGGCAGAAGATGGTGGGAGCAGGAAGCACGTGTCTACACCATTTGCGAACATTGTGGCATACTTGTGTGGTTTGACCTTCACTACTTTCTCTGCTGATGTTTTTATCTTCTGGATGCTGGATGTCTGGCATACCAATCAAAGCCAGGCATGTCATACAAAATGCAGTTAACATGTTCCCTGTGGCTCAGTACAAAGATGATCTATGATGCACCAAACCCAGCAATGCAGGTTTGACTGAGATTGCTCAGTTGCTGTCATGACAGGCATGATAAAACTCAATAGAAATATGACATTTTGAACACATAAGCTGGCTATTCAAGCACACCAGCTTCAGCTTTGTGATACATAAGCTTCAGTTAACAGTGTGCACTACAACAAAAAAGGCATTTATTTCCATCACAAACCTGTTTTGTAGATCTCATCAAGTTTCACAGCAACTTTTCATTGAGGCCAAGCTCGACTAATTTTGAAAGTCTTCAGATCTTTCATTGGAAGTTGTTGGTTCTTCTTTGACTGCGGCATCTTCCATTTCCTTCTGCCATGATGTTATGTCCTGGAAATGCAGGGCATATTAACTCCACAGCCCACACACTTGCCCCTCACACTTGCATGAAAATTAAAATGAGGCACCTGGGCATGACAAGGTAGCCCTAACAAGGGAACTCATACTGCCTTTCTTAGTGACTATGTCCTAGGCAGGAATCAATATCTTACACACAAGTGAAAGATGTCACTCAACTGTTGTGAACCTGGATATCTGTTCTGAACAAGAGGTGAATCATGTTAATTTTAGGCTAGTTATCTTTATATCTTTAAGAGGTGAAGCTGTCCAAGAAAAAATAGGATTGCTGCTATTTTACCATTCAAACAGGTGTAAGGACAAAGCTGGGTAGTATATTCTTAAAAACAAAATGTCATCAAAAAAGATAAGATAAGGATCAGAAACTATCTTATTAAGCAGCCTAAGTAGTAAAAACACAGGTTGGTTTTGTCCTTTGTCCAAGATTCATAGCTGACCACAACAATGGAATTTGTTGTAATCCTAAATTCAGTCTGTTTTGCCTAATAGCTCTCTAAGAGACATCTGGCTTTGTTTAACACTGTTTTCCACCAGATTGAATGACTGCCTAGAACTGGCTGTCAGTGACAGCCAAGGCCTGACTTTAACTGGCCTCAGGTCAGTGACCTTACCATATACATCTGTTTCATACCATAAGATCTGCTATTCAACTGCTGCAGCCATGCAAAGTTTGGCACTGCTATGCCACACAGCTTAGAGGTCATTGTGGAAAGCCTTTAGGGGGTAGGGCAAACTGACCCCTTACAAGAATATGTGTTAACCCAAGTTGAGGGATATGAACTATCAACCTAAAAAGACAGTGAAGGGTAAAAACAGAAGTCAAAACATGTTAAATTCAATCACAGATCAATCTAGTATTGTTCATGAGACCAGCCCACAGCAAGGCCACATGGTTCCCAGAGAAGGTGACATAACCAAACAGGTGATTTGCTGAGGGCACCTTGCAGGGGAGCTTCAACTAGATGACTGGGTGGCATAATATATAAACTGATAACTGAAGGAGAATTAACTCACCCTGAAAACCCCAAAATATAAAAGAAGATACATAACATATATGTTAATGAGCATTTGATTTCCCCAGACTACTAATTTTCACCCTACACCTTGCATCATGCCATTTTGTCAGCTTAAAACCAGTGACCCAAACAAAGCCATCTGATATTGATCAGCACACAGGCCTATCCTTTCCTCTACCCTCCTGGAAGCCCCTCAAAGAAAATCAACTTGCTCTAGCCATTCCCCAATCTTCTCTCCATGTGCCCATAGCATTATTTTCACCCACCTTTTCCAGAATGAAAAGTTTCAAGATTTTAAAATTAAAACCCCATAGCAAGCCATAAACAGCACAGTTCTTCATACCTTTTAGACTCCTTTCTTTTCTACTACAGAAATGGTGGGCATGTGATAACCTATGCAGCTTAACTAGTGTTACTTAAAAGGTATGGAATATGATTATGACATTTAACATAACCATGGCCTACATGTATTTTTCCAGTCACCTCAGCATTCCTTACTATACTGTCACTGCATCAAAACTATTTGGTTATGTTCAGCAGACAGCTGATATCTCCACCCCACTGATTCTTAGACTTGGCATAAATTCAGCGCTCCTCCGCCCTCTCCCAAGCTCATCTCATCTTACACACCACCTCGTTTTTTCCCGAAAAGTACAGGAGCAGACCACTATGATCAAACAGCTCTATGATTTTATGTGAGCATCCTGAAACCCATAATGCAAGAAGCAAAATGCATCGCACACGTTCGGGCTTAACGGGGCAGCGGAGACGTCGTTCCACGTCCCATTCAAATCGCTATATCATACACACCTTGTTCGTTTAAAGGTCAACCTACCCCGAGTGTAGCACGACTCCACCAGACAAAACGAAAAAGCCGGCACAAAGTGAAGCCACGTGGGCTGTTCCGACCCCTGGATTCGCGTCGGGATAATTTTAACTCAAACACTTTCATTGATACCATTATGCACTCATTCAAAGATTACTTCACCGCCAATTCGTTGGGGGTACATTCATACTTACAGAATTTCGGCCGGAAACACCTCTCAGTAATTTTCAAGCCCGAAAACAAATATGGCGGCACTATCACGCCGCCGGTGCGCGTTCTTGCCGGGATATCCTTCTGTGAAGGATTTCGATAGGACTAACATTTTACAATCAATCATTTTTGTTGCAAATAAAAAGTAGAAAATATATTTTGATCTTGAAAATATCAAAACTTTTTACTCTAATTCATCTTGTATTTTTAATTAACAACAAGCCCTAGGGAGATGTAAAGACCTGAGCGCTTCGCCACCCGTTCCCGCTTGGGCCGGCATACCAGCTACCAAATCATTAGAAACTCATAAGCTGAAGCGGTTTGTTTGACGTCACTCTGAAGTTATTCCACGTTTTAAAGATGTCGAGGTAAAACAAACTTTGGGATATGAATGACAAGAGTCCCATGCAACTTTAAGAAATGTAGCGGAAGTTAAACCTCATCCACCCGGGTAATTGGCCAGAGGCAAGTGTACGACATTTTTTAGGGGTCGGCAGATTCCCGAAATTGCAAAAATCATGCATGGGCGAAACACCCTGTCTTAAATATGAAGGCCTCTTCAATCCCAAGTCGGCAGTGCATAGAAAAACTGCCTATCTTGGCTTGACAAGGACTGACCGACTTGAGGACATGACAGCTCGCACACAAACGCGCAAACAAAAACGCCTATTTCGCCAGGGGGGAAAGTTGTAGACGATCGGAAAAACATTTATTTGGGACAGTCCTGATATTTCGTCGACATGATCCAGTGACTAATTTACCAATGGTTGCTCGGTTGAATTTCTAATCGGATGCGTTGTTTTTTTCAGCCAGAATCCGATAAGCATGCTGTATTGGCAACTGATAGCTCGATACCAGTGTTATTGCAAGCACGCTGAACACCTGTTCGGCTACGTCAGGAAGTTGCCTTTTAAGAAGTAAGTAGCGCTGGCAGGTAGTGGCGTGAATAAAAAAGATCAAGTCAGATGATAAACGATCTACGTTGTCGGCGTGTGCTGCTCGCAACTTGGCATTGTGTGCGTACAGTCGAACCATCTGCGCACAACGGTGTATTAAATTACGCATGGCATCTTTGTAATTCGCCTATGGGTAGACCTTTTGAAAGATATTCTCTTTTCAGAGATGTGTGCTTTACTAGCCGTTTACGTGCGCTATGGAATGCACGAAGTTACACTATGCGTGCGTGAAAAAAGTATTTGACCCGATTCGAAGTATTGTTGTCATCCCGCTACGGAGGGCCGGCTGCTTTTGGCTATGCGCTGTCAAGGGTTGATTTGAACCAAAAAATTCGTTTCGGCAGATGAGCTTTTCGCATCTCCAGCCGATGGTGCTACCGCATTGGCAATGTGTGGACATCGTTGCACACTCCGCGCACTAATAAATTTACCGTTAATTGCACGTGGCATCATGGTAATTTGACGTTGCGTCCAGTTTTCCTCTGAAGTACTGTGCTTTACGTATTTAGGGAGCTACCGTATAAAATCGAAACAAAATTCGTATAACTGAGCTGTCCTGGCAATTGACAGCCCTTGATCACTGGTAATGAATGCACAAAATTGCACTCTTAGGGTGCGGACATTTGTTTCCCCTTGCCGTCGTATTATGATCATAACTCTACGGCCATACCGGCCACAGTTAACAACGCGGCGTCAATGGGTGATTTGAACGTAGCAAAGCAGATCGGTCGATAGCCATTTAACATTGCTGACCGATGTGCTTGCATGATTCCGTCACATTTGCATGGTTGTACACTCCGCGCACGAGTGTAAACTGTTTGTTTGACATGGTATTTATGTCAAACGTCGCAGCGGCCGGCGTGACAGCAGTGAGTGATATGGTGTGGGCGGTCAGACGACCAAAATGTAGTACCTTATGGGAGATGCGCGGTTTTCTGGCAGATGACAATCATACACCAGTGCTTTAGAATGCACACAGTCGCCCCACTCACATGCAATTATAACGATTTGTGCGAGAGTTCTGGAGGTGCTCGTTGTGGCCGTAGTTAAGCGAAGCGCGATGTGCCCTATCTTTGGCACGGCGGTCAGCTATTGGGACGGACGGACGGGGCTGTAACCCTGGCCATCGTCGCCGCGCTGGCAGCGACGCCGCCATGTGGCGAGGGGAGGGAGGGATAATTAACTACGGAGGACAACACAGGCGCCAGGATGATCCTGGCCCACGGCCAGTGGAGGACAGGTTGCGAGACGAGAGAGACAGGACCGCAGAGGCTGAGACAATACACGCGAAGTGTGACGCGAAGAGATTCTTACAAGCTATTTCGGCTTTTCAAGACCACTGTGATAGTGCGTCCTAAGGCGGTGCTGGGCCGCTAGCTCACACGACGGACGCTGCGGCTGACCTCCAGCTAATCCCGATGTTTTACGGCGTGTCACAGGCGATGAGTAAGTGGCTAGTAAAAGTTGAGCTCGTGTGTGAGCTGCGGGGAATCAGTGGACTGCACGTGGTCGCCCCGCTAAGGCTGAGTGGTGGCGCATCCGCCGTACATTAGCAGCTCGAGGAGAGCAACAAGGAAAGCTTAAAAACACCCAACAGGCCCTAACATCGGCCTTTGCAGCGGGCCGGTACGAGGCATATGAGCATTTCGAGTGGAGAAAGCTACATCATGGCGAGGCAGTAAACTTCTTCGTCTCAGAGCTGCGCCGGCTCGCCGGTCTGCTCAGGGGTATACCAGACGACAGCTTAGCTTGCGCGTTCGTGGTAAAAGCGCCGGAGTCGGCCCGCCGCGCGCCCCAAGCAGGAACGCGCACAGAAGCCTTGATACTTAGCCAGCTGATCAGCCGCGCTTGATCGGTGCTCGCCGAATAGGAGGCAAACGCCGTGACTGCCGCCGCCGGAGAAGCAGTGTGGACGGCAGCGGCAGCGGCCACTGTGAAGTGCTACTCGCGCGGGCAGCCCGGCCACATAGTCCGCGACTGCAAGCCAGGTTGTGGGCAGCGTGGCCGAGTGGGGCTCCGCGGTGGCCGCTGCTTCGTGAGGTGCTACAACTGCAACTGGGTGGGACACTTCGCCTCTGCCTGCCCGGAACACGGCGCTGGGGAGGAGGGCTCGGCGCCGGTTTCCTGTCCCGTTCGTCAGTGAGTGGCGCGCTGCCAGTCGTGCGGCTTTCTGTGGGCGGCACGGACTGTGGGGTACTGCTCGATACGGGGTGCAGTCAGTGTGTAGCACACACGTCGGTGTGTCGGAACTGGAATCGACGCCCGGTGGGCGTTACAACGGTGAGCGGGGAGCGGTCCTGGTGTGAGGGAACAGGTGTGACGAGCGTGCGACCGTGGTCCGGCGAAATGGTGCCTCCAGACGTGTTGGTGGTGGCGTATTGACCACTAGGTTTTGATTTTATTCTCGGGATGAACGGTGTCAGAGCCCTGCGTGGCGTTACGGTGAGCTCGAAAGGCCACGTGAGATATGATGTTGAGATGGCTGGGGTGTCGCGGGTAGCTGCGGCGGTGGCCGTGCCGGCAAAGCCGGCTGCTGGGAAGGACTTTGTTGTGAGCTATGAGAAGGGAAGGATGTGGTCGGTGTGGTGGGAGTGGTGCGGGGGAAAGGGTCTGGAGCAGCTGCACGACATGACGGAGGAATGCAAGATTCCGACGGAGGTCTGACGGGATGACCAGGATCAGTCGGGGAGCGGCCGGCTGATCCTGGCCGTTGTCGCTGTGTCGGCAGGGACGCCGTGATGTGTCGGAGAGAGGAGGGGATACTTAACTACCGAGGACATCATGGATGCTTGGGGTGACCCTGGCTGATGGTCGGTGGAGGACAGGACCGCAGAGGCTGAGACAATACACGCGAAGTGTGACGCGAAGAGTTTGTTATACTATTTTTTCCCGTTCACCGTATTTGTGGCATCATGCCGCGGGCAGGTCTGCCGCAGTTAGTAATCGGAGGTCAAGGGGTGGCGTGAACATGTCATGTTGGACAATGGATAACTAGTATTTTGGCCGGCAGTGGTCCCACAAGGTCATCGTGCGCACATGGTTGCACGCTTAGCGGTTGCGTGGAGGTGCTTAAGGTTGGACATCGTATCTTTTTAAATCGACCGTGAAGGCGACCCACCAGCATAGAATGATGTGGTGACATAGTTGGAAAGGATCTAATAGATTTCCCCACCAAAGACGTGGGTAGCACCGGGAAATGACAACCCTGCACAAGCTTTATCGCAAACATACGATCCCACCATCCGCGCGCAGTTATGGATATGTTTCCGGCCCGCCGTGTTGGGCCATGTGGGGTGCCGGGCAACCTGGCCGCAGCCTGTAATGCGTTGTCAGTGTTTTACCTGAAATAAAAAGGTCATGTCGGCCGATGAGCGATTTGCGGTGACGGCCGATAGTGCTCCCACGATGACATTTGCGTGCGATGACTCATGTGCCCTAGCCCTATGCGCTAGCTTTAGCGCTGTTGAATGCCACGGTCGTGCTCTTCGGGTGCGATTGTAGTTTTTTCCCCGGCCCGCCATATTCTGACCATCACTTAAGTGCTATTCTGGCCTCAGTTTGCAATGCGACAGCAAGGTTGATGTGACAAAATAGCCCATGTTTCCCGATGAGCGATTTACATCGCCGGCCTATAGTGCTCCCATAATGCCGTCGTGTGCACATGGTTGCACATACCGTTCAAAAGTAAAACATTTTATATTGAGCACTGCAGCTTTGCAAGTTGCGACCGTCCTGCCAGCATCGGCAGGAATGTTGTGTTGCGCAGTCGAGCGAATAAAACCGAAACCAAAATCCAACGAGTTTGCGGTATACGCAGATAATAGCACGATACCAGTGCTTTTGGATGCACAGAGTCCTACTCTTAAGGTGCATTTATAAGTGTTTTCCGTATGTCTATGACTGCACCTAATTCATTTCTAGTTGTTCAACGTTACCCCTTTTTGTTCAGTTCAGATGTCGGCGCCATGCTAATTTGGGCAGGCTCGCCAAGAGCGTGATGGCCAGAATATGGTGGCCAGATAACAACAGTTACAATCGCACCTCAGGAGTGCCACTGTGTGCATTCGATAACAATGGGAAAATGCTATCAGCTGTTAGTGCAACACACTGGCTGTATTTTAGTTCCGATTTTATTCGGGTGAACCCCAAAGCATATCACTTGATGATGACGGACAGGTTGCAACGTCCATTTGCAAACAAACGGCGTCCAATTTGAAATACTCCTACTAGAGCGCGCAGTGTGCAGCAACGCGCTCAAGATGCCATTGTGGGATCACTTTCAGTCGAGAATGTAAATAGCTCACGGGCTGAAATGACCTTTTTTGTTCAAATTATCCCTGGATGGCTCATAACTAACTACGTCTGGCCTGTTCGTAGCGTCATTGTCAAAATGCGACGAACCGAAAACATAGTTATGATCTCGCGGAATAGTGCGTCTGTGTGCATTCTATAACGCAGGTATATGTTCATCATCTGCCAGCAAGACATACGTCTCCGCGTATGTAATCTGTGGCATTCCGTCGACCCCTCACAGCATATCGTTGAACACTGGCGGGATGGCGCAGCGGCGGTTTGCAAACATCATGTCCAAATTAAAATGACTTAACTCGTTCACGGAGAGTGCAACCATGCGCATATGACAACATTGTGAGAGTACTATCAGCCGGCAGCAAAATTTGCTCATTGTCCGAGATGACCTCTTTTGTTCACGTTGTCCCTGGCGTCGAACTAACAGCGGACGGCCTGCCACATAGAGATGGCCAGAACACGACAGACCGAGAAAATGTGTTCATTCGCACACGAAGAGTGAAAGGCGTGCATTGGTTTGCGCTGGTAGAGGGCTACCAGCTGCCACTAAAATACACCCGTCGGATTTTGGTTTCAAATTTATTCGGTCGACCACACGACGTCGAGGAATCAATGCTGGGGATTGGACCGCAGCAGTGATTTGCGCATATGCGGCGCTGAATGTCAAATAACTTGAAAAGAGTGTTCCACATCCGTATGAGGTTTAGACCTAAGACAGACGACTTAATTCTGTGTTGCATGCCGGCGCCAAGTTTTCCAATAGTTAGAAATGAACGTACTCGATCGCTCGACTCTTGCCTCAATATCTTTAAACGTGGAACATTCCCTTTGATTATTGCGTAGAGGGTGCCGCCATGTGCAGACAAACTCGAATTGGTAGCATTTTCGGCCGAGATTGTAAATTGCTCATCAGCCGACATTACATTTTTGTTCAAATCACACCTTGACGGCGCGGATTATCAGCGGCCGGCCTGCCGGTATCCCGAAGGCCAGAATACGGTGGCCCGAGAAAAACTACTAAAAACTACTAAAAAAACCTCGTGCGAATGGTGCGACCGAGTGCATTCGATAGCGTTGTTACGGGATGCCATCTGCCAGTACAACGCACGCCCGTGATTTGGGAATCTATCTCCTTCGGTCGATTCTCAGACAGCATATCACTACATGTTGGTTAGCCGGCGGCATTCTCGATTCGCAAAATTCCATGTATCATGTAAAATCCTTCGTGCTCCAACACTTGTGCTCGAACGATGCAATCACCCGCGATGAATGTGACTATCTGCATTCGGCAGCGCTTTGGTAGGGCTGGCTGGCAATGCCAGTATAACGCCATTCTCCCATAAGGAAATCCGTTTTGTTCCGTCGACCATCCCACAATGTCCCAATCAATGCTGACGTGACGTAATCAACCTCGACGGTCTGTGATGGTTTCAGTATGCGACACGGCTTGGCATTAAGTAGCAGTGATTAATGTTTGTGCTTGCAGCATTTCTGATGGATCCTAATTAGCTAGGACTCATACAGACATTTTGAGATTTGTTGTCAAGAAATCCTTCAGCGACTATGTTACAAATAAACACCCCAACAGCCACGTTGTTTTTTTTACTATTATGGATGACGTCATCATCAGCTGGTCTTTTGATCCTCTTAGACCTCGATACGCAGTCACGCCACATTCACTGACACTTTTTCCATAAAGTAAACAATGTTGTATGCTGAAAAAACTATGGTGTTGTAGCCGGGTTTTGGCCGAAAGGTGAAATACTGCGGCGTCAGGCGCAGAGGTTATCAAATAGATGGGAAGATGTAACAATCAACTAAACAACGCCTGCATATAATGCTCATGGAGGAATGTGTGCAGGTGTTTGCAAAGGGAAGGGGACTTATTTTGACAACAATCCGGGTTTTGCGCGCTGTGTTCTGTGGCCGTTCGCACCTTTCATATCTGACTAGCTCGTTCATATTTCATATTTTTGTTTTTTCGCCATATTTATATCCCATGCATGTACCTCAGCAGGTCCTCTGATACCCCAGCCAACATTTGGCAGGTAGTGGGCAGGTGGTTTTATATTCCTGTTTGCCTTTACCTGTTCACTCATATGTTTTTTATCAGTTGGAAATGGGTTAAAACGTGCTGGAGCAGAGCTGGCAATGCCATGGCATTTAATTGTGCCTTGAGATGTCTACAAACTTGTTAGCTACAGTTTCTGATATGGGATGGTTAAGTTTGGCTGTCCTTTACCTGGCAGCCAACAATGCTATGAGAAGGCGAGAGTGTGGGTGTTACACAAGGCCTTTGCAAGACTTAGTGTGTGGGAATTAGGGTAGATCTATAGAATGTTGTTCTGAAAGTTATAGTGCATGTGTGTCATTGAAAGTCTATGCTGATCTTTTATGGTAGCTGAAAGTCAAACTATCATCATCTAGGATAAATGCGAAGGGGGAGCATGGACAGATATCAGCCAAGTATATAGAAGTCTCCCATGTAGTGGGTTGTTGAGGTCACAAAGAACCATTCTTCCTTAATCTCACCAGTTTACTCCAAGTCATTGACTCACAGCAGTTGGGGTTGTCTACCATTACAGTTTATATGTTCTTTCAGCATGCTCATGTGTGTGAAAAATATATTTATCCCCTTATAAATAAACATTTTGCCAACAGGAACTCTTGGAGAAAAGTCAACATGGCCTTTTTTGATGATGCTGAATGGCTGCAATCACATATTGTGAATTCTTTCATCACCTCTGATGATACAGGTATTTATGTTGTTGGTGGTACATGGCTTATTTTATTCTCCTTATGTTTATTTGTGTAGTTATTATGTCATACATGCATTTGATCAGTCTTGGTATATATTAAATGTATAAATGAGGAAGCTAGAAGGTTTTCCATGAGATTATGAAACACAGCTGTAACACAGATCAGAAGTGGGGTGATCTAGATCAGTAGGTATGGCCAGCAGCTCCAGCAGCTGTGAACCATTGCCTGGGTCAGTTTGCTGGAATTTGACTTCAGTGGCTTATTCCATCCCCTATACAGGTGCATGCTTATGTGTTTGTGAGCATGTGATCCAGCCCTGTGCTAGTGTGAGATTCTGACAGTGCTCTATGGTCCAGGTGTGTGCGAGCTCGTCATGACGGTCGAGTCGGCCGAGTCGCTGGCCGCCGGTGACGCGGCCGAGCGGGACACCTACTTCGAGCCGCACTCGCCTGAGATCGTCATGGACATGGACATCGGCGGCCACCGGCGCCGCTCCAACACCTCCCAGCGTCTGGACAAGCTCAAGAAAGAGAGGAAGAACGCGGCCCGCGTTAAAAACGTCATCTGGCAGCCCAACCCGGATCCGCTGCCCGGTCAGTTTCACTGCCGGCGTGTGGAAGCTGGGGCTGGTGTGGTTTAGACAACTGCTGTCGATTTCGACAACCGTCCTCAACATGTTTTGCTTCTTTTTGTTCTTCTGAAGTCCAAGGAGATCAAATGGAGCACAGAGAAAAGTGTTGAGTTTTGCCAACCATTTCATCAATTCCAGACGCGGACCGGAACTTTTTGTTTGAAAAGAAGCCGATCGTCCGCCACGCGGGTCCGAAGCCGTCGCTGCTGACAGAGCATCTCAACATGCTGGACTTGAGCGACAACCCCTACACGGAATACTCCAAGTTTGACGGCAGGGTAAGACGCGATCACGTCTGTCGGGAATGCTGTTGACTGCGGTGCTGTAGAAGTGGAGGCCCAGCCAGCGCACGACTTTCGGTGGGTACGATTACAATCTGGTTCGCTGGATTTCATGCGAACACTACGGTACCGTACGACACGGCCGCGTTGCCACAAGAGGCGCTACTCTGTCCTGTTCGGAATCGCGGAATACGTTTCCCTCCAGTTACTCTACAGATGCCTCCAGGGCCGGAATTCACGCCATGCGTCTTCGTTGACCCATGGAGCATCGTGGAGCGTATTAAGATGTGCCAACCATACAGATTGGGTCTGCCTTAGCCCGCCTCTCGCTGCTCTCGGGCACGATCTCGTCTCCTGCTGCGCCGCTGACACGGGCTATCGGTCGTCCGCGAGCCTGTCTGACCGGAGATGGCCGTATCAGGCTGACGCAGACCCTCTGACGGGAACTCGCCAAGTCAGACTGATGTGGGCCCGTCTGACCGGAGCTCGCTGTGTCAGGCTCACACGGACCCTCTGACCGGAGCTCGCTGTATCAGGCTCACACGGACCGTCTGACTGGAACTCGCTGTGTCAAGCTCACACGGACCCTCTGACCGGAGCTCGCTGTGTCAGGCTCACGCGGGCGTGCCGACCCGGCGCATCAACATCTTCCTGACGATGGCGCCCGCTGAGGAGCTGGCATTCCCCATGTCCGTGACGGTGGTGGCTAGCGCCCGCGTCTCCGACGTCATCGGCCTCATCTGCTGGCAGTACACCAACGAGGATCGCGAGCCGCCGCTCAGGTGAGCGTAGGACGGGCGCGCGCGCCAGTACAGAACTATCGTTCGCGCCAGTACAGAACCACCACCCGTGCCAGTACAGAGCCGCCGCGCGCGCCAGTACAGAACCACCGCCTGCGCCAGTACAGAACCACCGCCCGCGCCAGTACAGAACCGCCGCGCGCCAGTACAGAACCACCGCCCGCGCCAGTACAGAACCACCGCCCACGCCAGTACAGAACCACCGCCCGCGCCAGTACAGAACCACCGCCCGCGCCAGTGCAGAGCCGCCGCGCGCCAGTACAGAACCACCGCCCGCGCCAGTACAGAACCATCGCGCGCGCCAGTACAGAACCACCGCCCGCGCCAGTACAGGGTCGCCGCGCGCCAGTACAGAACCACCGCCCGCGCCAGTACAGAACCACCGCCCGCGCCAGTGCAGAGCCGCCGCGCGCCAGTACAGAACCACCGCCCGCGCCAGTACAGAACCATCGCGCGCGCCAGTACAGAACCACCGCCCGCGCCAGTACAGAGTCGCCGCGCGCCAGTACAGAACCACCGCCCGCGCCAGTACAGAACTACCGCCCGCGCCAGTACAGAACCACCGCCCGCGCCAGTACAGAACCACCGCGCGCGCCGCTATAAGTGGGTCGCTAGGGGCAGTACGGGACGGAGGGATGCTGCTCAGATTGGTGCAGGGTCATCTGCCAGCAAAGAGCTGACAACGGTGGGAGGGGGGGGGGGGGGGGTAGTTTCACACCGATAAGGGCATGAGTATTCCATGGGTCAATACAGGGTCGTACCCCGAGCCAGTGTAAATATGCCCTTCAGGTCAGGCGAAGACTGCCACTCGTCAGTGTAGAGGCATCCTCTAGTTAATATAATACTGTCGATTGGGTTAGCACACAGCCGTCCCACTAGTCAATGCAAAGCTGCCGAGGTCGGTGTAGGGCCAACATTCTGGTCTGTGTAGAACTGAAAGCCATCCGTCTGATGGCTTCAGAGCTGACAGTCATCCCACCTGAAGTCTATATGATGACAGGGTGACCGGAGGAGCAGGCCACTGTCAGTCTTTAGCAGCCGTCTTTCTGGTCTGCACAGGGCTGGACCCCCCTCCCCGCCAGTCCGTGTAGGACGACAATATGGCCCCAGAAACGGACCACCGTCCGTCAAAGTGCGAGCACACTGCGATTGCTGCCTGCAGTCGGAGCCGGGCGGGTATTTGCCATGAGCGTTTCCCGCCGCCGCGTCGGCCACGTGAACGCCACATCACGTGCCTCACTCGCCCCGCAGGGGATCCCCGGAGATGTACAGCTTGCACATAGCCGAGGACGACGGCGAGGTCGACTGGGACTTCCCGCCGCTGGACGACCGCGAGACGGTGGCCAAGTTCGGCTTCAACGTGCTGGCGCTGGTGGAGACGGAGCAGACGGAGGTGACCGTGTGAGTGGTCGGCGCAGCAGCGCCGTGAGCCCGGACCCCTGCTGCGACCTCACTCTGGCCGTCTCGCGCTCGTGTGCTGCCGCTAACCGTGACGGGGCCAGCACTAGGGGGAGGGGGGGGGGAGGGAGGACCAGCCGAGCCCGCCAACAGTGGCGTCAGTCATCGCCAGGATGTGACGCCTGGGGAGGGGAGGGAACAGGCGATCGACCTGGGCCTAGGGTGGCCTGATTGCGCTGGAGCGAGGAGGTGAGCTGATAATCGAGAGGACAAGCCGTTGAGACAGTGCGATCACGCCCGCCGTCAGTAGGTCGCTGGGGGGGGGGGGGGGGGGGGGGGAGCTGATGATCGAGAGGACAAACCGTTGAGACAGTGGGATCACGCCCGCCGTCAGTAGGTCGCTGCATGACGTGCTGTGAGGAGAACAGCATGCCCCCGCTGCTTCTGCTTGTCGATCCCAGGCCGGTACCACGCATCCAGGCTGATGCACCGCACCGGCTTCCAAACCGCGCCGCACCTCCAGCCCGCCGCTGTGTGTCGCGCAGGAGCCTGGACGGACCGGACGGGAAGGACCAGGTGACGCTCTCGCTGAAGAAGCGAAACGCCACGGTGGCGGAGATGCTGAACGCCGTGTTGGCGCAACGGCCGGACGTGGCCCGCGAGACAGGTGCGAACGGGGCGTGAGCGGCCGCCGGCCGGCCGCTGAGCCCGCCGCCTGGCGTCGGAGGCCGGCCCGTGGTCAGCTGGGTTTGTGACGCGTGGTGCTTGGCCCGTCCGTGGCCCCTCGCACGTAGTTGTGGTGTCTGGTGATGGCTATCCATATCATCTACGACTATGTGGTGAGTATGAATCAGCTGCCCTGCCTTAGTCTCTCAGCAGCGGCAGCTCCGTCTCCCATCCGTCTCGCGGTGTCGCTGTGTGACCGGGCGGGCGTCGGCAGGCGTGGAGCTGGCGCTGGAGAGGGCGGACGTCAGCACGGCCGCCTCCCCGCTCAGCGCGGACACTCGGCTCTCTCAGCTCGCCTGTCAGCACTTCAACCTCGTCAAAACAGGTGCCAGCCGCACCAGATCGCTGGGCACTAATCGACGTCCTCCGCATGTTCGCAGCAGCCTTTGGCAATGCATTGGTGCATTATTTCCATTTGATGTGTGTGTGTGTATAGTCGCCCATTTAATGACCGGAAATATTATCAGGTGTTCAGGGTAGTGAACGGGTTAAAATGACACGTTTTTTTCTGTCTTCGCAACGTCTCCACGAATAATGTGGATATTTTTCACCAGGTCCTCAATCCATCCATCATTCACGCCTCCGGATTCCGATCTTTTATCCCTGTGAGCCAGCTTGCTCCTGGATCATTTGGCAGGCAATCCAAGCAGAGGTGGGTCAAGTGTCATCCCTCATGACGGTTCTGGCGGGTCGCCTCCGATGGCCTGTCCACGCTACGGCGCTGCTGCAGAAAGCGCCGGGGCTTCGCTGTGGGAAAGTGATGGGATTTCGGCAAGACCGTGCTACCTGCTGTATTACTCGTGTTTGTCCTCTTTGGTTTTTTCCTCAGGGTCTGATAGGATGTAACAGGTTATACCATTGTTAAGGTGGTCTAACCCAGATGTCGCCGGGTTGGACATTAAAGCTCTATTTTGCGGTTGTGACGAGGCATGTCGTTCCGTGTCTGACTGTTGTTGTGAGAAGAGGTTGTCAGTCCGTGAGACTGTCGTGACGGGACAAGCGTGTCAGTCGTGACGGGACGAGTGTGTCAGCCCGTGAGACTGTCGTGACGGGATGGGCGTGTCAGTCCGTGAGGCCGTCGTGACGGGACAAGTGTGTCAGTCGTGACGGGACGAGTGTGTCAGCCCGTGAGACTGTCGTGACGGGACGAGTGTGTCAGCCCGTGAGACTGTCGTGACGGGATGGGCGTGTCAGTCCGTGAGACTGTCGTGACGGGACGAGCGTGTCAGTCCGTGTGACCTCTATCTCTCCCTCCTCAGCGCCTGGCAGGAAGCACAAGGACGCAGCCGTGGTGGAGGAGCCCAACTTCAGCGGCCAGATGTCGGCCATGGAGGCCACCGTGTACCAGTCGTTCAAGGTCAACATGCTCTCCAATCTGGTCATCAAGGCGCCAATACAGCTCGGTAACTGGGCGGGATGATTGCGATAGTGCATAGGTCAGCTGGAAGGAAGGACAGTTCGGTAATTGCAGTACGAAGCTGGGCAGGTCCATGTCGTGCGCTAGATACTCAGCACCGCAGGGTAGATAGTTGGGCCAGGTGCAGGCTTCGCGTGAGTTGGGGGGTGATCACCGCTAACCGATGGTTCAGTCCTCCGATGGCTGCGACTGTCGTCCTCTGCGGGGAGGTTGACGAGCCTTTGGTACGCCTTAAACGTGGGCCCGACTGGTCTTCGTAGGACTGTAGCCTCTAAGGGTCTCGCTGTCCAGCTAGCTGAAAAGCTGAAGGTAAAGTAAAGTGATTGTTGGGTCTAGATTTGTACTCCCCAAGCTGTGCGCAGTTGCATCCTAGCTCTGCCCACAATACTCCGTATGACTAGGGCTATAAAGCCCTCCGCGTTTACCACCGGCAGTATGTCTCGGCAGAAACAGCAACGAAAGCGTATTGCGTGGTTCCATCGTTGCTTGGTTACACGGGTCGTGAGCTGGGGTCGGCCCGTGCTGGTGACCTGTGCCCGGTGCATGTTACAGGTATTTCGGGTGACCGGGTGGAGATTGACCCCGTCCAGGTCAGGTCAACCCTGAACGTGTCCAAGTTCCTGAGCAAGCCGCGGGCGGTCACTTACCAGATCGACAGCATCATGGAGTGCCGACTGTGGGAAGTCAAGTACGGAGGTAAGTGGAGAGGGGAGCGAGAGGGATAGGCGGCTCGGGAGCACACCCTTCACAGCGTTGTAAACATCCAATTTTATCGGGGTCGTGGAGAGTCGCATTTATGTGGGTAAGAGACCGGCTGTTTGTCCCGAGAATGTTCGATTGCACAGGTACTTGATACTCCTGTCGCGCCCCAGGCCGTGTGTCGGGATATTAACGGGACCCGACGCGTACCGAAAGCCGTTGTCGGCGTGACGGCCCGGTCAGTGGTGGTCTGCCTCTCCGGCTGCTGCCGTGGCCGCGCCGTCCCCGGGGCGGTGACGGCCTGGTCAGTGGCGGTCTGCCTCTCCGGCTGCTGCCGTGGTCGTGCCGTCCCCGGGACGGTGACGGCCCGGTCAGTGGTGGTCTGCCTCTCCGGCTGCTGCCGTGGTCGTGCCGTCCCCGGGCGGTGACGGCCCGGTCAGTGGCGGTCTGCCTCTCCGGCTGCTGCCGTGGTCGTGCCGTCCCCGGGCGGTGACGGCCCGGTCAGTGGCGGTCTGCCTCTCCGGCTGCTGCCGTGGTCGTGCTGTCCCGGGACGGTGACGGCCCAGTCAGTGGTGGTCTGCCGCCCCGGTAGCCGCCGTGGCCGCGCCGTCCCGGGGTGGGGCCTCAGGTCGGCTGGGACGTCCGCGTCCGGCTCACCGCCAGCATCGGCCGTCCAGGCCGCGTCACATGCGTGTCGCGCCAGCCGCGTACGGCCGTCCTGTACGCCTTTGGAACGTCTGTGGCTGCTGGCGATATAGCCCAGGGGGAGGGGGAGTGAGCGGCGCCCACATGAGACGCCTTGAGTTCGTTTCCCAGCTGATGACAGCGCCGTCCAACGCCGTCGCAGTCAGGAGCAAATCAAGCGTGGGAGTTGGGAAGGGGCCACGATGCGTGTTACGGGAGCTGAAGTTTGGTCATAGTTGCGCAATCTGGAAAGAATAGAGCAAATGTTGGTGGCTTCCGACACTTCGGGCGGGGGGGGGGGCGGGTGGGGTCTCATTGGCCCCTTTAGAACCGCCCATGACTCTAACTGAGCTCTAGCCATAGGACCGGCGTTGTCTCTGGTGCTCCACGAAAAAGTGACATGTCGGCAAAGCTGCGCCGCACATTGGTAACAGTACGCGACGGCCACAGGGCGGGCCATAGTACGGCTCACGTACCTGCTGCCATCTGACGGCGGCTACAGGCACCACGACCTGGAGGCGGACCTGGGCACGGCCAAGGACATCGTGCGCAAGCTCGAGTACATCCTGGAGTTCCGCTCCGGCATGAGCCGCAAGACTTACCTTCAGCAGAAGGAGAAGCGCAGCCTGCTCGCCTCGCTGGCGGCCAAGTAGCTGGCGCGAGCACGGGGGGTGCGCGGCCGAGTCGGAGGTGGTGACTGGCTGGGGCGGGGTCGGTTACCAGAACGCTGTGATACTACTGATGATACCGCTGTAGGTGTCCTTGCATTCTTTGTATGTGCCATCATCTGTTGTGATCAAGGATGTTGTGTATGTGCATGTTTGTATTATTTATTGAAGGCTAGGTTCACGTGCTTTGTGAAGTGCCGCTCTAATGTGCTGATGTCCGCGCGCTGACGGAAGTGGGGTCGCACCCCTGCTTTTTTGACCACTCAGGCTCCTTTTGGGAAGGGCGGCGACGGGCTGCCCTCTTTTTTTCCTCCAGTAGCTCCCAAACTAATATTTCCTCCAAGCCCCAGTCATATTGCGTTCGTTGCACCACAACCTGATCTGGTGAGACAAAAGGGTCCTGCGAAGAAATGTCGCCCACCCACGCCCCTGTCTGTCCACGGTGTAATGAGTTTGGCTTTGTTTTTTTATCGTCCGCTGTCCTCGCCAAACAAAAGGCGTAATGCTTCCAAACACTGCGGACTTTGAACGTCATAAATGTGGTTTTTGAAATACACCATGATTATGTAGTTTGCGGCTCGTATCAGTGTTGCAGATATGTGCTGTTTATCGAGGGTTTGTGGGTCTTTAAGTGCATTTTTCACATCATTGAATCTGACTCGTGTCGCTGTTAATTGTCCGACTAAAATGGAGCGGAAAGGGAAACTAAACAATCAGCAGTGCAGCTCCCGACACGCAAGATTGGGTAAGCCGACTAAAGCCTTTCCACGTCACTAGCCCCTGGAAAGTCTCTACCGCTATCTGCACACTCGTTAAATATACATACATATGTATACATGCATACACACACACACACACATATATATATATATATATATATATATATATATATATATATATATATATATCCCATCGCTGAGCTAGATTGTCCTGATTTGGGGCCTGAATTGAGGAAACAGGAGGCCACGTTTTGTGTTACGGAGTGTGCCGGCTAACGGTGTCACCTTTGTGGATCAGAAGGCCCCTGTTCTAGATTAGGAGACACCCTCCATAAATCAGGGGCCCTTGTTATAGATCAGGTGGTCCCTTTATCACATGACCCGTTCCCGAAGGCCCCTGTTCCGGATGTTGATGATAGTTGGAGTTTTAGGCTGTGCTGACTGCGGTGACCATGTTGCGCTCACAACTGTAGGGTGACTAACGCGGCGCGTGGATGGCTGAAAATCTCTTGTCAGCTAGCACGCGCTCGGGCGGGGTTCAAATCGATCACCCGAAGGTTTTTCCAGAATGGTTTCCGAACGGCGCGGCGCAGCCACGCCAAATTTGGCGTAGCTGTAGACATTTAAATACCAAATCGTTTCTTATTAAAATAGATGTACCTTGTAAGGACGCTGACCTACGCCAGGTCAGTCAGGCCATGAGTTCTACGAAGTCGATTCCTAGAGAATCGTTCATTCTGATGCAACAACGGAGTGTTGGACGAAGCCATACATCTCTGATATATTCTCAGGTAACACAACAATTGAATGAACAAATTCCATTGATCCCAAGTCCGTTTTGGAGGTCAGACTAAGGTCAAAACCGGTCTGTATTATTACTCCAGGGTTTGGCTACATAAAAGTAGTTTCTGGTGCTCATTTAAATTTGCTAATAACAGGAACCGCATTATGCATCTTTCATTGACTTTTCAAAGATCAGAATAGGTCACTGACCTAAAAGGACTCAGGTCAATTTTGTTTTTAAGAGCATGCTGCCTAGCGTAATTTTATCGCTTATTCAAATGCAGAACTCGAATCAGTCTTGTATCATGTGGGTCACCATCACCCTCATAAAGTGAAACAATGTCACTGACCTTAAATGATCATGAGAAGTTTTGCTTGGAACAGCTATCTAGGTTCTGGGCGCACTTTGCGGCCCAACCCGGAGATTGGGCTTGTTTGACCTTATTTTAACGGAAGATTATGACCTGCAAAGATCAAACTTTGACCTAAGTAAGTTCAGGTACATGTCGATATACCCTGTAAATGTGGTGTCTCCAGCTCCTTTAGTTCCTGAAATCTCAGAGGGTCAAAATGACACCCAACCGAGCAAAGGGTATCCAACCGGCCACCCGGACGCGTGCTGGGTCTAGACAGTTGACCCGCGGCCATAAAGTGAGTCGTTGCCAAGCATGTCAGAAAAAGTTTAGACATGGAGCATTTCGACCGAAATGAAAAATTCATTCGTTGATAAGCTCTGAGCATGTGCAAGCAATGCACCAAACGTCCAGTGGTGTACTGCAACGCGGGCAGGACGGCCAATCTCCACCCCACATCAGGAGGCTCCGGTTGTGGTTGAGAAGCCCTCCACTGGATTGAGTCACTAGCTTCCACCGGACATCGTGATCATTCCACCTTCGGTAAGACATTAAGCGGTGACGGATCATTTTTGACCTGCACTTCCACGCACAGGTTTTCCTCCTCTCCCTAAATTATCTGATGAGATACAATGACCACACTGCACGTCATCAAACTAGGAACACTCAGGCCTGAATCTAAAAAAATTACCGCCCATCTGAAAAATGACGTTGAAAAAGCCAACATAACTTTCACGCCGGTAAGGACAAACTGTGCCGTGTTTTTCGTGAGCTAATTATTTACACGACGCACGGCAGACGAATCCGAGCAAGCACATAACTAGGCTCGTTCCTCTTCAACAGGCAAGGCCATGTGGAGTAGACAGCGCCACCATCGGGATCCCTACTTAGAAAGGAATGTTCCCTCTAAGCTGCCTACTTACGGAATCAATGAAACGCCACGCACCCGATTTCAAATCAAGCTTTGCCCATAGTTACCAAAAGTCTGGCTGTTCAGCATAAATAATAGGCCGAACCACATTTGAAAGAAACTCTAACGATTTTTACCAGCTTAAGCCCATTGGACTCAGACCTGTCTACTAAATTTATGCCTGCAACTCGAGTTAACGGTAAGAACGTGAGAAGTAAAAAGTAATTGGTGTTAAGTTGACTATCGTAAAGTACTCTATTTGTCCTCCGTGACCCGTAAGAAAGAGGCTTGTTCCCTTTGCCTCCTCAGGCCCGAATATCACTGGCAGAAAGGCGAGCTAGAATTTCTCTCAAACTAAGCATGTTGATACGAGACTTCACGTCATGCAGTGTTGGCACTGAAGTCATGAGTAGTGTACTCGTCAGTGATAGGGTTGTAATCGGTTGACTTTGATCGGTTCGGTGAACTCTTCTGCAAAGACTTGCTTCAAGCTTCACTACTTTATTCTCACGTTCCATTTCATCATATAATGTCTCTTAAAAGTGGTTACCATGATTCTGGCAGAACTTAAAGCAAAAGACTACGTCCGTCCAAGGCAGGCCTCAGTTCTCAGCTTCGCGTTCTCAGCTTCTAGCAGTTTTCTTTCCATAAGTTCGGAGCAGGTTAAGGGATGACAACCTTGGCAGGGGCAACCTGAGTCTGATACGTTGGAACACGTCCAACAACACATCCCCATCGGATGAAATCCAGTCCAAAGCTCTCTTGGCACGAGCTCTGAAGGCGGATGCATAAACTTCCCGACCCATTCTGTTTACGTTACGAGAGAGCGATGGCAAATATCTGCCAGTTCTACGACCCAGCGCACGCTACCGAGCACTTAATCGTAGCATTTCCTACCATGCCATGTGCTGCCATACGCAGCTTTGTTTACCGTGCTTAACACTCAAAACGCACCATATTTCCGTCTTAAGCCTAAAACAATTTCAGTATCAGGCTCAAATAGGCATCAAAATATGTCACGTCCAACACACTTGGGCAAGGGGAGCTTAAGGAACTTCCATGCGTCCTAGGTAGCAATCTTTTATTCACCTTGGCTGATTTGGATGAGTACTAGTTTAAGTACAGTTTTTTATTGGAGCATCGCCATCGCACGGATGTAAGCAAACCATTTTAAGAAAACCACATGAACACACCAGGGGATTGTCTTCGTACTTAATGTTAATGGCTGCTGCCGTAGTTAACATTTTTTATTAATCATTTCTTATCATCTTTATTATACTTTTTTGTTTTTAAAATGAATGAGGGGCGTGACGAACGACTGGCCATGTTGTTCGAAGTATTCGTTTTCGTCCGCAACCGTCCTTTTAAAACGACTTGCTCCTTTAAACTAAAACGACTTTAAAACTCGAATAATGTCTGAAAGACCGAATACTCCATGCGTGCCTTGAGAAAAAGCAGAAATGACTACGTTAAACATGACATTGTCATCCCTATCCTACCATAAAGTGGAGCCTTTGGTGTCTTCATGTGATAATGAGGGACAACTCGGTGTTTTTTATATCACAGTGCAGCCGCAGCAGTTTAGGTGGTTCTGCTAAACCGACGCATGGTCTTCTGTCAAGCAGACGCATGGTCTTCTGTCAAGCAGACGCACTGCCTTCTGTCAAGCGGACGCATTGCCTTCTGTCAAGCGGACTTATGGCCAACGTTAGCTATTGCTGGTGATACGCGGTGGAAGCGTTGTCGTGACACCCATTAGCAGAGCTGATAAGATATCAACATGATATCATCCGTGACATTTTTAGACCACCTCAGGCCGACACTCGTTGGCTTTTTATCAAATTTGGCTCGAGCGAGGCGCGCTTGGAAGTGACCCATGGAGTTGTTTTGGCAGCCGGCGCGGCCGCGCCAAACAGTCGCAAATCATCGACCGGGCGCTCCAAGTCCGCTGACAGGCAGGGAATCCGCAGAATCGGGGCGCCGCTAACGAAGCCGCCGCGACGGGCACAGACCGATAATTAAGATTTACGCCTGCGGAAGCGGGGCGAGGCTCCTATCCGCGGTAATTCACTGGGTAGCGCGCGGCACTTCAAAGTCGCCGGGCCGGGTTTGTCGCCGTGCGGTGGATGGCGCGGCATTCGCGGAGCGGCGCCGGCGCATTGTTACCGGTTGCCGCGCGCGGGCGTGCTTGTAAGGCCGGGGAGTCAGGTAGCGGGGGCGGAGCGGACATCTGGTTTCGTGCCATCACTCCCCCTCGCCCTCCCGAACATATTGTCTCACTCCCCACTCCGGCTGACAGCACCTCGCTGGCAGGTTAGGTGAGTGAGAACAGAATGGGCACTAATTGCGACCGTTCCTGGCCAACCGCGCACCAAAACGATCTTCAGATAGATGCATCTGCGTAGAAACTACATTAGCAGCCATGACAGCCTCCTATCTCCGGCGAGTGCGTGAGAATCGCGATGTTGGGTTTTAGGGCAGTATTGACCACTCGGTCACTGAACGGTGCAAATATTGGCGCATTGAAAAATGTCATCATGAAATATTTGCTCCATTCACCGTATGATCCTTTGCTCTGTCGTCTTTAGAATTTGCTTTCTGCAGAACATCTGGTATGGGCTATCCATTCGCGAAACAAAGAGATTGCACTTCCGTCGCAGAGAAAATTATCCAGCCATAAAATGAGGCAGTCGGTTGACGTCCACTGTGCCCCAATCGCAATCAAAACCCCCATCATCACCATCATAACG